CATCATATAGTTGTAGTTTACTAATCGATTCATCACTTGATATATTTGAAAGATTAGAAGAAACAGAAGATCTTTTAACAGATGGCAAAGTCGTTGAATATGATGACATTGATGACATGAAAATTTTGAGTGGATAATGATTTGACATTAAAGATTTTTCCTCTTTATTTATTTCTTTTATACTAATATAATAATTATCAAAATTTTCATCATTTAATTTAAAGCGACGTATTGCTTGTTTAATAAGTGAAGTTGTATTTGTGGCTTCACTTAATAAAACAATTTTAGAATCGAAATTGGTTGACAAATTTCGACCAGCAAAAACACGAACAACATGGTATTCACGAGTGATTTTTTCAGGTTGAATTTGATTTTGTTGTGTTTGTAAAGATTGTGAATCAGATCTCTTTCGAGAATTAGAAGTTGATTGTTGTTTAGTTTGTTTAGGTTTCTTTTTCCGTTTAAATAAATTTTTAAATATTCCTTTTTTTTTTGACGCGTCAGATGATTCAATTATTGTACTACTATTTTCATTATCATTGTTATTTTCATTATTATTGTTAGTGATACTTTCTTCTTCATCAGAGAAATCCATGAAACTACTCGCGGTTGGTGTTGTCGATCTTTGATCTATATAATCATACTGTTCGTTACTTTTATTTATATCTTGTTGCATATTTTGTTCTGTTAAGTTGGTAGGCTCCATAACAATATTTGAATCACCATTTTGTTGATCATTTCCATCGACTTGTGTTGAAGCTGTTGTTGATATTGTAATACTTTGATTGTCTTCTACAGGTTCTTCTTTTGTTGTCGTATCTATCTGCTCATCATAATTTTCCTGACCATCTTCTTCATCTTCCTCATCATCATCATCATAATAATAAGTATCTGCGATAACAAATTCAGGTGACGTAAAATAAACAATTTTTCGGCCTCTCTGATATTTTTTTGACATAATATCTGAATTATCTTCTTCAGTGTTATTATGTGATGAGCTTAACTATTAAAAGAATTATTTGTTTATCGATTAATATGAAATATCATTAAAAAAAAAAAAAAAAAAGCCTCAGTTGAATAAAAAATAACATACAATGACATTTTTACTCTTGTTTAATCTCGCTAATCGTTCATATGGTGTCTATAATGAATATATAAAATATTTGTTATTTCATCGGTATATAATTATTTATCATTGTGTTAACATCAATTGAATTATTACAATTTACCTCAATGTTTTCAGCAGGTATATAACCGATATCATCATTTCTCATAATTTTAACCAACCACCAATAACTATTCGAATCATCCAATAAAGTTAGAGAATCACCTTTAATAACAGTAATTTGCCCTTCGACTGTCGCTTTAAAATTATGTAACGCATATACTAAAGAAAAATCGATATTTTCATCGATTACAGGAGAGGGGGATAAGTCATCTTCTTCAGATTCTTCATCTACCACTGGAGCTGGATTATTATCAACTCTTTTAGTAATAGTTGTATCAATAGATAAATTAGGATCTCGAGGCATTGATAGATATTATAGATAGTTTTTTTATATGAGAAAATTCTAAATTGTATATCGATATGATATTAATTGATGTTAAATGCTATAAAATTACAAAATGATTTCGATTTCTCTAAATATATGCCAAGTGACTTGTAAAATGGAAAGCAATAAAAAAGAGTCACTTTGATTTATCTTAAAGATATGTCTATTTTTTTTTTTTGGCTTACAGTAAATGCACTTTATGCTGAAGAATGCGTTTATCAAAAAACTAAAGTACAGCATTAAAAATTGTCAAGTTTTAATATTCAAAATAAGGTATGCATGTTCACATTGTATGTTTACATTTTGTGAATTAGGTTCAACTAAAATGAATGTACAAAATATAATTATGAAGAACAAGTATTATATTGTAAGACAATTAAATGATTTATACGGCAGTGTCACCAAAAATGTTATCATTGAAATATAGTTTGGAACAAGGAACATCAACGTACAGTATCGGTATCAAAAATTTTTTTAATGTTATTACAGTACGTATAAAACTTGACATCCATTTTAATTATAGATTAGAATATTTTAGGAATAAAACTATGGTTTTATATAAGTCGAACTCGATATGTCGAAGATTAGGTTAAAGAGGACCGGCTTATTAGATTCCATAAGATTAAAAATATTAAAAATTCACGTTAAGCCGAAAGTGACACCGATACGTAGTAATTAATAAATTATATTTCGGAGTTTATCTTGCATACCTTGCATATGTTGTGTATCAATTAAATAATTACTCTCAAATTCTGACGTACATAAGTTAACCATAGCTAAACCTTGGATAAATCTGTTATTGCTTGCTACTCTAATTGTTTGATAACCCGGCGGCTGAGTTTTCAACCAGCTAGCAGTTATTGCATACTTCGCATGCAATAACCATTTATTAACAATTGAGAACTGGTATTGATGTTAGGTTTTGGATTTTCTTTATTCATTAATTGTCATCTAGTAGAGGTCAGATGCATTTAGGGTATATGCTTAACGATCGAATCAACCTCTTTTAGCAATAACGATCGATAACTAACGCTAATATTGCATTCGTAATAATTTTGGTTTATGGGTAATAGTTTCAGTTTAGCAAATATTACTGTATTTTCATGAATTATTATTATTAAAGACCTACCTTGAATAAACTTCAGCTGTCACGCGACTTCTCACATTCAGGTTTGGCTGTCACGCAACTTTCACATTCAAGTTTAGCTCTTAGAACAATTTGTGATTTCTCATTTATACTGTATATGATTTTGAGACTTTTATTTACTATATAATCTATTGCTTCTCGCTTGCATCACTTGCTTTTTGTTTTAAATTTATTTAATAATTTATACGTTAATTATCGATGCTAATAGTATGTTTGTAAAGTAATATTATGCTTGCTATTCCACGACAATAATGGCATTGATCAATTTATTGTTGTTAGGCGAAAACCTAAGAGGTTTCATCGAAATGGCTAAATGACGAAACTAAAAGTAAAGTGATGACGAAATTCTGCCAATCAGATGCTCATACTCTCCAGTTGAAACACAAAATTATAAAACTTTGAGAAAAAAATTTCTAGTTAACGACTTGACCAAATTTTATTAATTTTTTTATTTTAATTCTACAGATTTGTAGTATTTAAATAAAAAATTTCATTGAATTTGGTCATGTCAAGATATTTTAGTACAAAGTTTTAAAAAAACTTGAATATGTATTAAAATTTAATGTTCAAAATTTCAAGCTATGTCAAAAGTTTTAAACCTTTGAGTAAAGACAACTCAACATATAAGAGGGACTGGGTTACTTTTTCAAATATCCACTTAAAACACGACGAATAAGTTTATCAAATGTCGATCTCGAAAGAATCCTAATAGCACGTGAACTGTTGGCACGTATATGCACTCCACACGGAATCTCACGATCCAAAATGACACGAATCGGCACGTTGTTGGCTGTCCGGAGTTGCACGTGTAAGCTCTTTGAACGAATAGCACGTATCTGGGATGACACGTATAGGCTTGGTTAGTTAAATTACACGGCCGGTCTACGGGCACGTACCAAATCACGTGATTTTGCACGTACCAGTTAATCACGTGAATGTGGAATAACGACGATATGTACAAGAAAATTCGATGCAAATAGATTAAACGGCAAAAATAAAGTGCAAATAAATTATATCGAAAACTAAATTGTATATTATGATTATGGCTCAATACCAATATTCAATTCAAGGTAAATTTAGGTAAATTACAGTATCAATCTAAGTTTACAGATCGGAGTAAAAAAGTAATAAGTTTATTAATTATCTGGTAATGCACCGATTAAGTGAAATTGAATAATTGTATGCAACTTGCATATTATGTAATTCGTTTTTGGGAAACTTAATAAATAAAAAAAGCATATACTTTAATAAAAAATACTTTCGCCTTGTCATAAATAAAAAAAAAACACATACACCTTAATAAACAAAACTTTCGCCAACTGTTAATAAAACATTTAATCGTATATCACTCGTTATATATATATATGAATCACATATTAA